TTCCCGAAATTGTGATCAAAATATTTGACTCCACATTGTTTTATACTGGTTAATTTTGTAAATATCTGGTTTTCTCTTCACTGTTTCACTGCAACTCTGTCTGGGCTGTAGCTTTCAATGCTGAATGTTCATTTTATGGTGGATCAAAGAAGATAGCCTTTTTACTTTTCTTTTTTTTTTTTTTCCTGATGGGTTCGTGATTTCTTACTATGAATTCCTCAGTGTGTATATTTCTCTTTTTGCTGGTACTGAATCTACATGTGATATTCAAGTATCCCCTTCGTTGAATTGATTTGGAATTACCAACTCGGCTAGATGGCTATTTATGGATTTTTTTTAATCGTGTTATTCCTTTCAGAGCAAATATATTGTGGCACTTAAGGTTATTTTTAAGGAACAAATAGAAAAGTACAGAATTCATCACCAACTGAGGAGAGAGATGGAGATTCAGACCAGTCTTCAGCACCCCAACATTCTCCGTCTCTATGGCTGGTTTCATGATGCCGAACGGGTTTTCTTGATACTTGAGTATGCTCATAACGGTGAGCTTTACAAAGAGCTCAGAAAAAAAGGTCATCTCACCGAGAAGCAAGCAGCCACGGTAAGTTTTTGTCACCTGTTACTTGCTACGCATCGCCCTGCCCACTTCTGTTATTTTGACGACTTGATTCACTATCGAGTCTTATTGATATGGCCTCATTTAGGAGGAAGCCTGACCGTCATATATTTGGAGAGTGTACATTCATCCTTCAAGGCATTACCTTGCATTATTTAGTTTCGAGAAAGCTGAATCAGAGCATAGGAAGCTATGGTTTGTTTTGTGAGTTTATTAATTACGTAACTGAAAGAGAGTGAATCGCATATGCATAGTCTGAAATGTTTACGAGTTTTAAGCAGTGATGTTTATGCTTATAGTAGCTATTAAATGAACAAGGCTGCTCTGGAAAAATTTGAAAATGTGGCAAAAATGAAATAGAAATTCACAAAAAACTTCGTCACTTATTATCTGAACATCTTATAGGAAAGTATCGTTTTGTACTCCCCGTATTGTAAATTGACTTCAACATTTTTGTGATAATTTTAGTATATTTTGAGCCTCACAAAGGCGTTGGCATATTGTCATGAGAAGCATGTCATTCATAGGGATATAAAGCCCGAGAATTTGTTGCTTGACCATGAGGTACGTCAAATATGACTTGTATATTATTACCTTTGTTGTTTCCTCTTTGCAATTTTCTCTGCTAGTAATGTAGTTTTTCCCATCAACTTAAAGCAACTCAGCCAGAGTTGGATTTTTCAATAGAATCCCAAGCATGTAAAGTTCGCAATTTCTTCCGAATGATTTTTGCATCTCTGGCCTCTTCAGGGTTCTGTTGGAAATACATTTTCTTTTCCTGAAATATGACATGCATGACAGTATATACATTTATCTTCTGCCCACTGCTTTTTCTTGCCCAATCCTTTCCATTTCTTCTCTTCAACTTGACAATGATTTCTCTGCTAGTAATGTAGTTTTCCCATCAACTTAAAGCAACTCAGCCAGAGTTGGATTTTTCAATAGAATCCCAAGCATGTAAAGTTCGCAATTCTTCCGAATGATTTTTGCATCTCTGGCCTCTTCAGGGTTTCTGTTGGAAATACATTTTCTTTTCCTGAAATATGACATGCATGACAGTATATACATTTATCTTCTGCCCACTGCTTTTTCTTGCCCAATCCCTTTCCATTTCTTCTCTTCAACTTGACAATGATTGTAACCAATAAAAAGAAAATCAAGGAGCATTTGATCCTCAAAATATTGATTTCTTCTGCAGATATAAGATGAAAACTTTCAGTAACTAGTTGGTTCCTGTTTAAAATATTAGTGCCGTTTCTAGAGTACCCAATGAATGACTATGGTATAATTGCAGGGTCGCCTTAAAATTGCAGATTTTGGTTGGTCTGTACAGTCAAGAAGTAAGAGACATACTATGTGTGGAACATTGGATTATCTAGCACCTGAAATGGTAGAAAACAAAGAACATGATTTTTCTGTTGATAACTGGACTTTGGGTATACTTTGCTATGAATTCTTATATGGTTCTCCCCCATTTGAGGCTGAGAGTCAAGTTGACACTTTCAAGAGGTAATGAATTGCATGTGTGGTGGTAGATGTTATTGTTAGCTACAAATGAATTATTCACCCATTTTTAGGCAAGCATGTTCGACCAAAAAACAAAAGGAAGAAAAATGTTGGACACCAATATTGTCATGGCCGGTTCTGGACACGAACATATTGTGTGCCCTATTTTTATATGTCTTCTTTTTCTGGTGAAAAGCGAGAGTTTTGGTCCAAAACACACGTGGAGATACAATATTGTTAATCTCTACGCACTAATTAGTGAGGAGGTTAACAATAACCATCCATCTATACATGCTCCACCCGGGGCTATTTTACATTATTTGATGCTAGATGTGACCACATTAGTGTCTATGCCTCAAACTATTATAATGAGTACGCATATTACATTATGCAGGATAATGAAGATTGACCTAAATTTCCCTTCTACTCCAACTGTTTCTTCAGAAGCCAAAAATCTGATTAGCCGGGTATTTTCATATTCATATCCAAGCAAAAGCAAGTATTTTCAGTGAAAAAATTTAATTGCCATTTTCTGAATGCAATGTGGAAACTGATGCAGCTCTTGGTGAAAGATTCCACGAGAAGGCTATCACTTCAGAAGATTATGGAGCATCCTTGGATAGTCAAGAATGCTGATCCTATGGGTATCTGCAATAAATAGATACACACATTCAACCACTGGCTTTGAGGGATTGTCGAAGTTAGAATTTCGTATCTGATATAAAATGTGAGCGGAGTGACTATTTGTGGGCATGTCTTTGATGAAATATGAAGGTCAAAAACTGTGCATCTAACTGTTATAGGATGAGTTTTGCAACGGGCTGTAAGGAAACACAATGGTGTTGTCTGAGATTCCTGCACGATGTATTGATTAGGAATTTAAGATACATTAGCTTAAAGTTATAAACTAGGATTCTCTCCCGTATAGTGTTAACTGCCAATTATCACAAATTAAAACCCATTTCTTTCACCTGAGCTTTGCAAATATGGATGTGAATGTAGAAAATTGATTGAAAGGATTTCGTGCGGTTGAATGAAGATATTGCGACACACACTAACAGGTTCACAAGAATTTCGGGCTTATTTGGATTGTAGTTTGCAACGGTAAAAGCTTTTAGGAAAGTGTGAAACTAAGGTTTGTAGCTTATTGCGGCTTAAATGGTTATTTGGATGGGTTAAAAGTCTAACCAATTCCTGACCTTCAATATCAGTTGGACTCAATAGAGGAAAATTTGACTTTTTTCATTTTATACTGCAGTTTCAAATGGTAATCATTAAAAATGAATATTAAAATATACCAACTCAGATTTGTCCTCACATTTTTTCCATCTGTCTCATCTCCTTCTTTAGCATAATGGGTTTTTATTCAAACCAAATAAATTTTAATTTATATTTATGTTTGTCTGTTATATATATTTAATTAATTATCTATAATATGTTTTCAAATTTTTCTCGGTGACAAATATTTTTATTTTATAATCTCACAAATAAATTTTTATTTTATCATAATAATTTTAGGTATTTTGTAAACTATTATCATATTAAAAATATAAATATCAAATATTACTATTCAATAAAGTCCATGCCATTTTCAGTCATTTTAGAACTAAACTCACTTTTCTATTTCATCTAAATCACTTTTAACTTTTTCAATTGACTTTTTATAAGCACTTATCCAAATGTAACTCACATTACGCTAGCTGATTTTTACTCTAATTTCAATTACAAAAGTCAGTTACAACTAGAAGTCAGTTTTATCTAACGTCAATCCAAACACACCCTTGTAATCAAGTTGGAGTATGGATTGGAGAAACATTATGGAGACCCATCCTTGTATCACTTTAGATTGAGTCATTCTTATTCAAAATATTCCATATCTCAGTAAGCCTCAATTTAGTACTTCAAATTTTCAATTAGTTACACATATGCCATTATTATATACACAGTTTTTTTAGTACATGTTCTTTTAAAGGCATTTTCCTACTCTTTTTCTTGTTTAAAAATATAATGCATTTTGATGTTTTCTAGGAGTGATTAATGAAGTTTTTCCAAAAAATGTCCTTGATAAATATTTGAAACTAACGAGATCTTCATATTTATTATTAAGTTACCATATTAAATAAGAGTAGATGTGGAAAGAGTAACTACTTTATAATGTTATCGACAGTATTTTTGGAAGGTGAAAGTTAGTTACAAATGCCTTATAATTTTGAAGGTAAAGGGAGGCAAGATAAAGAAAATGGAGACTGTAATTGGTTAGCAAACATAGATGTAATCAACTAAAACGCAAACTTATTAAGAGTGATATAACATGCCAATGCTTTTACTGCATAATGTCATAGAAACTTTAAGTTGAAAGTCGCATGTTCAAGTTTACTTATAAATCTTTATAATCTTAAATGATTAATGTCAGCCTGTGTAATTAAAAAAAAAAAAAAGGTGATATGGCATGTCCCTGAGCCGTTGATCATGTGGACGACTTGCGTTGGCAATTGCCAATAGTGTATAAAAAGTAAAATCACGAAAGGTTGGAACCACGTGACAATTCTGGTGACTTAACGGTACAAAACAAAAGTAATGGTACAAAGTCAAGTTCTCGAGTACTGCCACTTATGTACATCTGACAGAATGATACGTACTATCCTTAGCCCTTACTCCAACCTATCAAAGATCACATGGACATGCTTACTGGTCCTACTCCAAGACGTTCAGCAAGAGTGTTAGAGCGCACATGAAACTAATTATTATCGACTAAAATGAGGTCGAAACTATCATCAGAGGATGATAAATCGAGCAATGATTTTCATTTTCCTGTCTTGCTAGGGTCTCCAATTCCAGCTCCCTTTCTAGCCCCACTACGAATACAGCATACCTCAAAGTTAACGCATGGACATCAAAGTACGAACTCGTTTTTCTCTGTCTGCCTTCTTCGCGCTTGGTGTTCTCTTTAGTTTCTGCAATTCCTCTCTCACAACTTTCTCAACCATATCAATGGAGTTAAGGAGCTTCTTCTGTGGTGTTAGAAATTCTGGTCCTTCTTCAGACTGATTGGTGATATCAAGTAAAATTTTTGGCAACTTACAACCAGTAGGTGTCCGGAACTTGTGACCAATGGTTGGGATTGGAGAGTCTGCAGGAGATTGATCTGCCGGACATGGACTAGTAGGTTGCTGTCCTTGGTTTTCTCCTAGGCGAACTCTTCTCCTTTCAATTGCCTAGAAGCAGAGATCCATGTCAGTTAACATATATCAGACAGGATTAAAAATTCTTCGAAAGTAACAAAAGCAAAAACATGACACCAAAAACTGACGGGACCATACAGTATGCTGCATGACAATTGGTTCATCTGGCACAAATGTAGTCTCCGATAAAATATAAGATGCTTAGGGATCCATTGATTATTAAGTAAACATATGTAAGGATGACAGCTATTTGATGAAACTGACCAAAAGGAACATCAAGGCTTTCATCGTTGCAAGTTCAATTTTTTGAAATGCTTTTGAACTCTCTCCCCTATTTCTGTTTTTGGAATTTTTGGCCATCTTGGCTCCAACTCCTCAGGCAACACTAGTTTAGTGTAAGACTAAATGATTTAATAGACTAAATAACCATAAGCCCTGTCCCAGAAAGTATTTAAAAACAACACTCTCGTATGGTTTTAGTGCATTCATTTTTGTCAGTGTGGATTTCCTTTTATTCTAATTCGTAAGAACAAGCCATCCAACTGAAATTCAAAGAATAATTAAACATCTAATTGGTTATCATTCTCACCCAAATTAAATCCAGCCCCCAACACATGCCAACAATATCCGCCATTAATTCAGAGGATTAAACTTAACGCTTAAAAGGGGTTGACGTCAGATCATTAAGAAAGGCTAAAAAACATGCAGAATTTCGAAAAGATTTTACATCATTTCTTTTTGCTTTTTACGAATTAAGTTGGACAGCAGCAAGACTTCGACTCAAAATTAATTATCGAACACCCGAATACGGATGATTGATTTTCTACCATGGCAATAAACCTGAAAAAGCAGCTATATATAGGGATGGCCCCCCTCCCCGGGGAGGGGGGGGGAGGTGCCTCTTACCCTCACAACAGCGGTGATGTCACGAAGAGGAGTTCTTGGGTACCAAGAAGGTAGCACGCTCCGCGATGGTCGGACCCTGCCCCGCCGATCAGTCCAAGATGGACTGTTCCTGTCAATAGTAGGTGGTCCGTTTCTCAGATTGCCAAAACTGCCGATGACGCTCCCCCCAGCTCGCCTACCCCCCAACCCGGCTGCTTGTCCTGAGGTCGTCCAGACAGTATTCACTCGACTTGGCGTGGATCGAAATAAAGCCGAATCCAACTCGTCATCTACTATGCCCATGACCCCAGATCGCCGGCTAGTGAATACTGCCGCTATGTCCACAGGCTGTGGCCGTCTGTCTCGTGATTCCGGCATACTTACCCTTCATAGTTAATTTAAAGTACATGAATATTGTAAGATCGAATCAATAGGATCGGAAAACTAAGACAACAACGGCATTCCCATTATCCGGCAACGTTATATACAGAGGGATCCAAGGAAGACCATGCAAGAAAAATAAAGAGCAAGAGAAGGAAACAGTTATTTACCTTGGAACGGCAGGGTTTGTCGATGGTCTCTGCTAGTGAAAGAGGAGTAACGAAGGGCGAGTAGAAAACCAATGCGGCTCATTTTTTTCAAATGGAAAAATGGGCGGTTTTATACAAATTGCAATTTGGAATCTCAAAACGGCTCGTTTTCATTTTGAATTGTGTGCAGAGCGGATCCAATCCAAGTAACGTTGAAGAATCTTTCCCCGACAAAAAAAAAAAAAACCAGAGATTGCAGAATCTTGACTATGATCTGATGAGTTGGCCAAAGAAGATTGCGAAAAATGTCAGAAGTGGGATTTGAACCCACGCCCTCTCACGAGGACCAGAACTTGAGTCTGGCGCCTTAGACCACTCGGCCATCCTGACACTGGATGTTGAGTGTGTGTAAAGAAAACTACTTATTCTCAATCGAACAGTACATTATTTTCATTTTGTTTATTTAATTTATTTTTATTTAAATTTTTTTATCAATTTTGATTTTTATTATTATTATATATATTATTTATATTATTACTATTTAGTATATTATTATATTATAAATTATAAAGTATAGTATAAAGAAATAATTATAAAGATATAAATCGAACAGTCCGAACATCCTCCACGACCCCCCAAGCAAATTACCACCTTCACCCCTAAATATAAGATATAATTTATAATATAAATTATACTGTAAACGAAATACAGGTAACATTACTAAATAATAAGTAAGCCTTAATTTTGTGCATATCAATACGTAAATCATATTCACTAGTATTAATTATTAATTATTATATGTCCTCTGTTAGATAAAGTGTTGGGCGGTAATAATGATGGAAGAACTAGTTTCATGGGGAAAAATATTAACAACAACAGTCTGTACTTAGATGATGGCAAATTATTAAATGTCCTGAATTTCACGAATTAATCGTCCTAATCACAATTTAATCCAAAAAAAGGACTAAATTTCACGTCTCAGGCATTGGCTCATTGCCACCACTTCCACAATTTTGCAAAATTGTCGCTCGATGACACCAGGAAATTGAAACCGAAAAACCAATTAAATGATCTCAGAAGGTAGTAGTAACTTTTATTCCCAAAGCTTACACTCTGATTTTATCTTCCGGAATTTTTTATTTTCAATGTTTGTACGTACGTAGGTAGTTATTTTAATTCATCAAGGAAGAATAGTGACTGTTTATGTCACTCATTCACATCATAACTGAATCATTCCCACCCGTCCAACTCTGCAAATTGTTGCTTGTAGGCTGTGGCCCTGGGAAAGAAGAAGCAAGAAAACAAATAGAAAAGATTTGAGATGCAACTTTTAACCCCAAAAAAATATTTTGGTATACATTGACAAAAATTGATTTATAGCGCATAGATTACTCTCACAAAGTGAGGAAACAGGGAAAAGCCCAACTCAACACTTCATGTCAAATTACATTATGTACAAGGGCAAAAAGAATTTTTCCATGAGGCTCATCCTCTTCTTTTTTTCTTTGTTTTTCAGGCCATGCTCTTTCATTACAATAAATGCAGCCAGATACATGAACGCTGCACCATCAACGAATTTTTATGCTTTTTTTTTTTTTTCCTTTTTGTTTTACCTGCATCACATCGGAGATGCACAAGACCAAGCCTCTCGGCGCCTCAAGCTTCTATTCAAGATTGCCTGCTGGTTTCACGCACATTGGCCTTCTTAAGTCGGGGCAGAAAAGGCTAAGTGGGCATCATGTGAGCTTGTTCTGAGATTCAGATCCATTGGCTGCAGCTTTCATCTGCTCCAGCTTCTTCCGAAGATAGGCCTGCTTTAGTTTCTCTCTATGAGCGGCTACCTGCTCCTGCCTCCGCAATTTTATATCAGAAGCCTTTTCTCTTGCTCGATTAGCTTCTTCATGTACTTCCCTGCAAACCATAATTCAAAAGGAAATTATAGAACCAGCGATGATAAGACATTAAGGACAATTTTATCCATGATAAACGAGAGAAAAAAGTGAGAAATTATCAAAAAGCGCGTCAATGAGAAAACAAACTCTAACAATAACACAGAGCGTAAGGCTTGTTCCCTTTTTAGTGCTCAAGAATTAAAGAATTTACATCGCAGTTACCAAGCTTCTTCTAACCAAGCCTACCTGCCCCGCCTCCTTTGGCCTTTTTCTCATGACATTTAATTTATTCCAGAAGTCCAACCTGGAAAGACTTGTCCTACTAAAGTACACTTAGGCTGTGTTTGGGTGACACCTCAAACCATGGTCTGGGGAATAAATCACCCAAAAACCAAAACCATGATTTTGGGCCAAAACCATGGTTTTGGAAAAAGCAAAATTTTTTTACTTTTAAGAAGAAAAAAAAAGAGAGTGTGAGAGCCTATAGGATATGTATCTTGTTATTTTTTTTATAAACATATTTAATCTTATATTTTATAAATATATATACATATTAATTATTTATTAATTATATTATCTTATGTATTATTAATTATGTTAATAAAAAATATATTATTCACAATTTTATTCCTTCAAATTAAAATATATCATAAAATCTATTTTTTCTGTAATTATCATATTAATTTATGTCTTTTTTTTAGTAATTTGTATATATAAAAAGTGCTTCTGATAACAACTATCCAAACACTCTCACTTCTCAAAATCACTTTTTCATAAAATCTATTCTTTCCAAAATCTATTCTTCCCAGAATCTATTCTCCAGAAACACTTTTCCAAATCACGGTTTGGTTTCATCCAAACACACCCTTAATTTATTCCAGAAGTCCAACCTGGAAAAACTTGTCCTACTAAAGTAGTAAAATCTTTCCACAGCAATTTATGCCACTTGTTATTGGACTAAATACGCATGTTCAAAGAAAAAACACTGCAGGAATAAGAACAAGGGGAAAGTAAAAGAATCCAAACATTCTACTCAATAAACACTCAATCTGAATTCAGTAGAGAGCCATGCCAATACACAAAAAAGCATTGATCTCATACCTAATAAAGCGCTTGTGTTCAACACTGTCAACTGTTCCAGCCGTTCGGGCAGAGGGTTTGGTGTTAAACAACAAAGAAGCATCATTATCACCCTCTTCATTTTCTTGTGGCACTGTCTGAGAGACACCGTGGCTTTGGGGTGGTTGTGACTCATCCTGCTCATACCCCTTTCGGAAAAAGTCCACACAATACTTTTCTTGATCCTCTTCATCAGATAACTCTCCCTTCACTAACTTATCGTACAACTCAGCTTTTCTCTCTAGTGCTGCATAGCTAACTGATCCATCTTCAACTGCTTTTAGCTCAAGTTTGTCCCTGCATTATGGTAGAAAAAGAAGTTTCAGCATAATAAGAACAAGCTGAATAAATCCATCCTGACATGTTTACATAATTAAGATAACAAATAAATCAGTAATGCTAAGCATCAAATGGAACTTGCTGCCTCAACAATTACCATCACTCTTTTCAGTATTTTTCCTCTCTTTCAACCATCATTTAGCAAGTTCGACACATTTCAGAAGAAAATACATCTTATGGGTCCAACTAATCCTACTTACTAAAATTGGCGCATAACTTTTAGAAGCCACATTCAACTGCTTTTATGTTAAAACTAATGGCACAGAACCAAAATCATTCGACTGAAAAATGCTTGAATCCATTCACTTTTAGTTCCAAAAACTCTTTCCACGTTTCAGAAACATTCACCGAGACAAAATGTCTTCAAATATAGTCGAAATTGAGATCCAGAGTTGTTTTGATAGCAAGTCAATAATTGGGGTCCGTTTATTTCAAAGAATGTCATCTAACAAGACATGATGATCATTCATGCCTTATAAACACTCCTGTAGATTTATTAGATATAAAGATATATATACAGACTAAGCCTTCCATCATAAACTAAGTTCCCTCAACATTTTATCAGTGGCTAAGAGAACAGAGTAAGAAGACAAAAAATTCACAAGTGCCCAACAACGTCAGACCAGCTTTATTATTTCCGAACCCAATCCAATACAAATAAGTGTAAGCAGTAGCAACACGAATATCATTAAAGAAAAAAAAAACAAGATTATACAAAGAAAAACATACTTGAGATCACGGGCATCGACCCCAGAGTTCTTGGCGGAGAGAGCATCTTTACGAACAATCTTCGACTTTGCGCGTTGGTACTCAACCTCCGGGCCCGCTAATTCCCGAGACTTCTTGGACTCTTCCTGAGACCTGTAGAGATGAGCTTTCAATTCCATGATCGACGATGGCCCGACGCCCGCGATTGCACGGTGCTTCTTGGGCATTATCGACGATTCCGTTAGCCATCCCAGCGATTCCACCACCACCCTCTTCTTCTTCTCCTCTTCCCCCATCGAGAAATTGAAGCAAAACACCACGATGAGAGAATCCGACGCTGAGTATGAAGCTATAGATCTAAAGAAAAACCCAGCAGTATGATCGAATCAGAATCACGATCAGTTGAATCCAGGAAACTAGGTTTTCGACAGCTTCATCACCTAGGCGGTTTTGTTCGCCGGGTTCAATGGGTCGGACCGAAAAATATATGAATATCCACTTTTATTTTAAAAAAGAAAAGAGAAAAGTCTAGCAGCTTCGTCGAGTTGACCGAAATTGATAGCAACACAATTTATTTATCTAGGCTCTTTTAGAATTTGAAAATCGATGAGAGTTTGGCCAAAAAAAATTGATGAGAGTCGTGAGAATAATATATTCTAAATAAAAAACTATGTTATTATTCATATTTTAATTGGTAGACTCATGAGAGTGAATTACAAGCTAATAGGAAAAGCAGGGGGTGTTAGTTGATAACTAAGTTAATGAGATAATATAAAGGAGAATCCCAATTAAATCCAGTCGAAATACCTAAATTCATATTTAGACCTATACTTTTAGCAAATTCCTAATTAGGCCATGAGACCTAATTAAGGATTTTTTAATATTGTTAAATCACCAAAATGCCCTTCTTCAATTAAAAAGAAAACTTGATTAATATACCTCTCCCAAGTACTTCCTCATCTCTTATGATTTTTTTTAGACCAAAAAATATATAAGTAATTTTACAATGTTTGAAATTTGTATATATAACTTATACTATTAAAAATATTTTAATAAAACATGTTAAATTACAAATATAAGTAAAATTATAAATATTTTTTATTTTCAGTTCTTGTAATTTACCTTAGTTTTATTTATTTAAACAATATTAGATCCAACTGAAAACATAAATAATTACGATTTAATATTGAATTTTTATTATAATTAAAATATTTTAAAATTTTAAAATAAATATTTACAACCTGAAAAAAATATTAGAAATATTAATTTAAAGATTACATATATTATAATTTGAAATGTTTTATGAAAATATTTTGAAGATTTTAGTTATATTATAAAATTTCAAACACTAAAAAATTATTTATATTTTTTTTGTCCAAATATTAATAAGAGATGATGAACCACTTTAGAGGAATAAAATAATCAATTTTCATTTTTAACTAAAGAGGGACATTATAGTTACTTAATAATATTCAGTAATTCCTAATTAGGTCTTATGTCCTAATTAAGAATTTGTTAAAAGTATAGGCCTCAATTTAATTTTAAGTATTTCAGCAGGATTTAATTAGGATTTTCCCATAATATAATCTCCATATAAGATCAAATTATTACAAAATAGTATTATATAACAATTTTTAAATTAAAATCATGTGTGACCAAAGTTTTTATACGCACTAGTATTAGATGAAATGATGGGCTTATATCATAATTTTGTTGTGGACAATGAAAAGACCTCTTCTTAATACATAATTATAAAACTATTTTTAAAATGATAACCATGGTAGAAAAAGAATTGAGTTAGAGTGTTAAAATACTACCATGGTTATAAAGAGTTTGACTTATTTCGAAAACATCCCAAGTAGCTCAGGATATACAAAACACCCATGGATTTAGCAACGTAGAACAAAGCCTCAGGGCACAGTAACCGCCCACAAGCCCAACATAATATTCATCCCACAAAGACTTAGGGCACAAGAAACATAGGTTGCTCAACCCAGCCCATAAGGCATACACATAAGAGTATCACATACAGTAAAGTCTTATGGCCTTCAGCCATTTTAACAGCATTCCATCAAATACAGTCATCCAAATAAAAGAAAGTATATGTCAATACAGTTGTGGGCCCTAAGATGGCAATATACATAACATGCCTAAACCAAAAGAGGACTACTAGGCTATGCTCGCCTATGCCTCTGGTTGCTTCCCTTCACGCCGAGCCAAACTAGATGGCTCTCTTGAAAAGTATTGATGAACAGCGGGGTGAGACGTAAAGTCCCAGTAACCAAGTATTAATTTATGACATATACAAGTAGGATGGCAAGTTGGTGAAGTAGTGCTTAAATATAGTTTAAGAAATAAATGGTACTGTAATAGATATAATCACATAAAAAGAGTATATCTCTCCATCCACAATACAATTCATATAAAAGTACATATATGCAACAACACAATGAAATATGCCCTCCCATCACCTTTCTCCTCCTTATGACTCCTTGACAAGGACCCGGGCTTTCTGTGCTGAGTAACCCGGCCAAAGGTCACCCCACTCACATCAAGCAACGGGCCCCCTCCTGTACCTACACCGCCCAAGAATGGACTATGGTGCAAGAGGTGTCTACCCAAGAGTTCATTCTCAATTCCGGGTCAAGGAAAAGGAAGAACTACAGGGGTCTAACAATAAGGCCAAACACTGGGATCCGTAGTGTAGGCATGCCGCGCGGGCTTCAAGAACAATTATCCTCCACATAACAAAATCCCATCCTCCACATATGAACCCCATGCATAGTCACAATATAAATCAAAATATCACAATCTTCAAAGTAAGATGATATAATTTCAAACAAAGTATAACACATTTTCATTTCATTTAATAACATAATATTAGTATATTAAATTCAGTACTACACGAAAACACAATTTCCAATAAAACACAACTCAAACATAATTAGATCAACATACTTCCCACTTCACCAAAATTTGTCATATAATAAAATATATATTTTATTCACAGGCATACTTTTACAAATTAACTAAGAAAATAAAAACATAATAAACACCTTACAATCCAAAGCGTGTATATAAAATAAATTAACCCCGGTTACCTCTACTCCAAGCTTAACCTCACAGCTTGAGAAATAAGAGCGCAAATTACAAACTCCGAAGTACAAGATAATCTACAAATAATATAGATACAATTTAATATACATACAAATAATTAACTTAAATTACATAGAATTTATTATTAATAATATCTATACATATATTTACTATCCAAAAATTCTTACTTCAAATAACATTTTTTTCCCCCTACCAAATAACTCATTTAAATTATAAATATTTATAAAATATTGTTTTTATCTAATATTGTAAGAATCTCAATTTATAACTTAAGTTTCCAGTTTCAAAATTTTTCTAATAATATAGTCTTAACCTATTTTACATTTTAAACTGATTAAAATATCAATAATATATTAAGTAACCCAAGTAAGTTATTTAACTTAAATTTAATCGGTAAAAACATTCTATATATCTTGAATGATACATTTTCCAACCAAAATTTTAGTTTAAAATTCTCAAAACAATCAATAAACAACTATAAACCGATTAAAATTTCAATAATATAGCAAATAACCCAAATAAATTATTTAACTTAATTTTAATCGGTATAAATATGATATATATCATAAATGACAGATTTTTCAACAAAATAAATTTGATTTTAAATACCTTAGGTAATAAATGGACAAATCTAAACCGATTAAAATTTCTTAATAATAAATCTTTAAATTCCTACGGTCAAATATTTTCGAAACTCAATACTTACTCTATACCCAAATCACAAAATTTTCTTTAAACAGTGTAGTGATACTACTAATATAAAACTCTAAATATATAGGAAATATTCATAAGAAAAATTTAATAGAAAGAAGTGTTTTTATATACCTATATGATCCCCAAAGCTTGTATGACTCCTCAAACTGCTAACACTTCTCTTCTTTTCTCTCAGTCTCTCCTTCTACGCATCTCACTCTTTCTTTCCATTCTTTGCGATCACTTCTCTTTTTATCCTTCAAATTGCTAACCGTCCTTCCTCAATTTTCTTCTCTCATTTATTATACTTCCCCATTTTTCCTCCTCCCTCTTTAATTGCCTGCGTCAAAATGCCTTCCGTCAATGGTCTTCCCCCATGATTCTTCTCCCCCTTAATAAACCCCCAGCTTTTCCACCGAAAGTCGGTGGAAAGCTGGGTCAAAATTTTTTTTTTAAATATTAATAAAATATTATTATTTAATAATAATAAAATATTATTTTACATTATTTAATTATTTTTTTAATAATAATTTAAAATTTTTTTTTAATAATAATAATATTTAGGATGTTACAGACAACTATTAACAGGTTTATAGGTACGGATTAACAAGTCAATGAAAAGCTACTAACAATTCAATGAGTGTTAGTTGACAACTAAATTTATAGGATAATATAACTTGCATGTAAGATCAAACTATAACAAATGAGTATTATGTAACAATCTTTATGTTAAAATCAAATTATATAACTTGTCCATTAGGGACAGGGATAATAACGTAATTTCTTATTTAAAATATATTACTCTCCGATATCATGGAACCTCTTCTTTATTTTGAAATTTTAAGAAATCTTAAATTAATAAATTATGTTACTTGGGACGCATGTGAGATTTTCTCCACATTCTAACTCAAATTGGTACCACTTGATTTTTGAAAATAAGAATCAACAGAGAAACAAAGGTTACAGCAAGACCTTTCTCTGTTCCAACAGAAATCCCTCCCAAATTGGTACCACTTGATTTTTGAAAATGGGTGGTTATTTTCAACATGATCTCTAATTTTATTTATCGCTCATTTAGTATCATAATATTATTTTTTAGTATACCCAACCCATTCATGTTTTTTTTTTAGTTATATCAAACATTCTAATGTTTAAGGTATTAAATAGATAATAAATATTCCTTCAGCCATAAATATAAGACCTCTTTTGTAATGTAAATTACATTATAAAATGGGTCTTATATTTAGAAACGGAATAGTAATATTAGAGTGTTGCACAAACTTGGAAGGTATAATGAGGGTATTGATGTTACTTTGAAAATTGATTTGTGTTATCAAAATGTTATTCTCTTAAACCTTAATGTATGTATATTTATGAATTATAATTTGGAATAAGCGGCATTTCTTGGCATTTAATTATTGTTTGATTATTGCTACCATCTTTTGGTATATCTTTCTGTACAACTATACATGATATTTGGTATTCTTTTATTATTTACGTTTTTGTGTAATTATTTCAAAATAAGGCTAAAAAACTTATGTAACTTCTTTAGACTTTAAATCACGTATTGAAAGTTCGATAAACTTCATTAACAAAAAAAAAGACAATTACACCTTTTGTTATTTTATTCATGGTCTAGAACATTTATTTAT